CCTGTAAAGGATCCCTGTAGCCGTGTCATTGTTATAGTACTGCTGTTAAGAAGGCCACGGTACTGTAACAGTACCTTGGTACTAGCTTCACTATTATTTATTATATTAATACATGATAAAATTCATAATAAATTATAATTATTTTTTGGCGATATCATGTGTTTTAAATCTACGAATCGGAGATCAGCATAGAAGTATTTTAAAGAAATAGTACTAACTACACTTACCTATAAGTTAAAAATCATCCATAATTGCCATTGAAGATCTAGCGATCCTGGCTTATACTTTTTAAATAAAGAGTCTTAGTTAATAAAATCAAAATATAAACATACCCAATATTCAAGATATTTGTAAAGAATGGACAAAAAATAATTATACCTGATACATGTTAACCAAATATAGTTTAAACTATATTAATAATTTTAAAATGCCAGAAGCTTGGTTACGATTTGCGAAGTATCATCTGCCCAAATATATACATAGACGTTTATTAATACTAGAATATGATATTATTAGTAAGAACCATTGGGAAAACTTTGTATTCCGTAGTAAAAATAATCTAACCAGAAATGAATCTGTAGCTAATTACTCTAAATTTAAAGAATTTAAATTCAAGTAATATATTTTGTAACTTTGTATAAAAAAAATCATTCAGTGATTATTATTCAGCAAGTATATCGTTTATGGAAAAAATGAATAAATTTGGCTAAAGTAATCCAGTATGCAGTAATTAAATGGCTTTATAGACCTGGTGGATCATTTATGAAGCAAGCCAAAGGTCGATATTATTGTGAAGCAATGACCCAAAGGGTCTATCAAAATATGAATAAGCTCCATCATTAGATAGAACAGATTTTATCTCTGCAATCAATAATTATAAAAGATATTTTTATCTGAACCTGTTTAGTGATATGGGATACGGTGTTACTACGAATTGGAGAGAGCTTAGGAATGTAATGGGGCCGGGTTTAGCTTAGTGTAGTAAACTGGAAGGTGAATGATGTGAGAATTGGGCGCTTATATTTAAGAAGGGACAGGATGGGAGATATAATCAAGATTTGGAATATAGATAATAATAAATAATTAATTGTTATTTTAAGTGATGCGATAAGATCATGAGGTCAGTAATAATTAATAGGATCAATGATTATTTTAAGAGTAATGCAATAACGCGGTAATCAATTTAACAACGTTACAATCAGTTAGACGAAACAATACAATAAACAGGTTTTCAACAATAAGATAAGTGTGAGAATTCGATAACTGCATATAAGTTGGCTTCGGTTTTGAAATGCCTACTAACTTATATTTATTAGTTTTTTTAAATAGATCAAAGTCTGAGAAAACTTTATTAGGGCAAAAATGACAGGTTTAAATACATGTGGAGATTCTCGCAGCATTAAACTGTCATACGGGACATCTTTCCTTTTTACTACCTACGATAACTAACTCAATGACAACAATACATAAACAATATCAAGTCATTGAGGAAATTACACAATTTCCCTCTTTTGTATATCCTATACTCGAGCAACAGCAATACCTCTGTCCTCTTCGTCCAACAAACCCCACTAAATACACATACTATTATAGGAAGTAACGATAATTGGTCCATCGTATACTAAAAAAGGAAAAGCGTAGATCTATCAATCATGACACTGAAACCGGTAAGTATTTTCTCGGTATACAATGATCTTAATCGTAATACAATCAAAAAAATATATATATAAGATAACTAACTATTTATGAAATAACAATAATCGGGATATAGCTATAACGAAAATAGAATGATAAAATAATAATAATAATAATAATAATAATAATAATATACTAAGAAAAAAAAGATATCGATAGCAGAAGAAATGATGCGATCAACTGATAAGATCGAAAATTTTAAAGGTAACAGACTCCTTTTTTTAAACTCGAGCTCCTGCGAGGAGGACTAGAGACGCTTACTTAACCCTCGGGTGATAAGCCTTTAATCGATTCCCGTGAACCTTCTTCTTCAGAACTCTATCATCGAGAGTACGGAGTTTATAAGCTCTTTGAAAAATATTGTGTATATAAAAAGGGCCAGTCCATTTTTCCTCAAGCTTGCCCTTTCAGGTTCCATCTAACAAAGACCTATACACCAAGACCTGGTCACCTATATGGTAACTCTTGATGGTATGTTGATGATTATAACAGTCTTTCTGTCTTTGTTGGGCCTTGGAAATTCATCGTTAGGTATTAAGAACAGCCTTCTGAACGTCTTCTAGTAACAATTTAGTTCGTTTAAGGAGATTCTCTTGTAATTCAGCTTTAGTGGAAGGTGGGATTTTTGGAGTTAACTCGTCGACTTCTCCTGGCAAAACCGCTTCCCGACCATATATAAGAAAAAATAGCTCGTAGTGAGTAGTTGAATGTTTAGTTGTCTGGTATGCAAAAAGCGCTGGGGAGACATATCTGTCTCATTCTCCAGAGAACTGGATGGAACATTTGGACAGGACTTCACAAAGTGTTCTATTGAAACGCTCAACCAGACCATTGGTCTGGGGATGATAAGTGGACGAGTAGTGGTGATGAACTGTCAACTGGCGATATATGGCCTCGATTAGTTGATTATCAAAATATTTTCTCTGATCTGATAGAAGCTCTCGAGAACTACCATGACGGCAAAGAATATCATCTATAAAGAACGAGCTGACGGATAAGGTGGTAGCATCAGGAATGGCACGAGCTTCTGGCCACTTAGTAAGGTATTCGGTAGCCACAACAATATACCTGTTGCCTCTTGTTGTTAGTGGTAGGGGGCCGACGATATCGATTCCAACTCTGTCAAAGGGCTGTCCTACTTTAATAGGGTAAAGGGGCTTGTGAGTACGGGGTCTTCCTTGTCATTGACAAGCGTTACAGGTCTTGACATAGGCTTTAACTGCTTCTCCTATTTGGGGCCAAAAGTATCTAAGGAAGATATGCTGAAGAGTGGAGAAATAGTTGAAGTATCCGGAAAGGGGGTCCGAATGCATGCTGAAAAGTACAGCATCAGTTTGGTGGGTAGTAACACTTGTAAGAGTCGGTGAGGTTGTCTTCTATGTTTTTTGTATAATAGATTATTGATTATAGTAAAATATCTAGTTTGGTGTTTTAATTGTTTTTGATGCAAGGGTTCGAGTTCGTCTTGATAAGTTGGGTTGCTAATATAGCGAACAAATTTTCGATAGAGTTCTGGTTCCATAGTATCATTTGAAAGGGATGATAAGAATTGGCAAAATAGGTAGAAGAATAAATAGTAAAGATATAAGAAGAGAAAAATAACAGTGTTAAGAAAGGATAGTCAAAAATAGGAGAGATTTAAAAGTGATGTGGGTTCAGAAATACAAGAAAGACTATCAGCATTCGAATGCTGCCTTCCGGGATGATGTATAACGGTAAAGGTGTACTCTTGTAAGGCTAAGATCCAACACACAAGTCGACCCTAGAGGAGCTTGTGGCTTAACAAGAACTTGAGAGCGGAATGGACAGTGATCAAAGTAAAGCAGGATCCATAGAGGTACTGGCGAAAATAAGAAATAGACCAGACGACGGCCAAACACTCCTGTTCGGTGACGGAGTAGTTTCGCTTAGCGGCCGTCATAGTTCTGCTGATGTAACAGATGATCTTCTCTCTTCCTTGATCGTCTCTTTGGGAGAGTATAGCTCCGAGGGCTATCCCAGAAGCATCGGTGAAAAAAAAGAATTCTCTTGCAAAGTTGGGGTATGCCAGAATAGGAGCGGAGATGAGTTTCTCTTTTAACGCCCTGAAGGCTTCATGCTGCTTGTTAGTCTATATATACTTGAAATTCTTCTTCAGGAGTAAATTCAAAGGAGTGGCTATCTTGGAGAAATTTAGGATAAACCTCCAGTAATAAAAGGCTAGGCCAAGAAACCCACGTAGCTGTCGAAGGGTCTTGGGCACTAGGAAATTCTGGACAGTCTCTACTTTCTTTGGGTTGGTAGAAATCCCCTCGGACCCAATAATGTAGCCAAGAAATTTAAGCTCCTTCTTGGCAAAGTGATATTTTCAGAGACTAAGTCGTAGGCCTGCCTTTCTAAGATGCTCGAAAACTTTCCTTAAATGTCAGAGGTGATCATAGAATGTCAGGGAGAAAACGTTGATGTCGTCAAGATATATAATGACAAATTTACTATTTACGCCTTGAAAAATAGTGTCCATGAGCCTTTGAAATGTGGCCAAAGCGTTGGTGAGGCCAAATGGTATAACGTTGAACTCGAAGGTACCGAATTGGGAAATAAAGGCAGTTTTCTCTCTGTCCTTCAGCTCCATTTCGATCTGCCAGTAACCACTAGCAAGATCTAACAAGGTGTACCAAGAAGAATGTTTGAGTGTATCAAGGAGTTCATCGATGCGAGGTAAAGAATAGCTATTCTTCTTTGTAACGGAGTTGAGGCGATGATAATCAATGCAAAAACGGGTCTTATTCTTCTGTTTGACCAGGACGATCGGGGAGGCCCAGGGGCTGACAGAGGGCTGGATGATATTCTCTTCGAGTATTCTATTAATTTCCTCCTCAAGAAATTCTTTCTCCTTGAGGATCATATGGTATGCCCTTTGCTTGATCGGGACCAAATCACCGGTGTGAATGCTATGGGTAACTATGCTGGTTCGGCCTAGATCCTGAGTCGTCCAAGCGAAGAGGTCATCATTATTACTGAGCAGCTCATACAATTGATCTCGGTCTTTCTCTTCAAGTTTCCCAATATCAATCTCTGGCACAACTTCCTCAACGTTATCGAAATATAAATTATAAATCTCGTTTATCCTATCCTCCAAACAAACATCACTGCTTTCAGATCCTTCACCATTCACGTCCCACCAATCTTCCTCCAACGAGGCGACGGGGAACGAAACATCATCTTCCTCAAAATAACCGAAAAGCTGATCCTCTAACTCCTTCTCTTTATACTTGCTTTCTGTCTCTTCATCTTCTGACTCTAATTCTTCATCATTCTCTTGCGGCTCTGTTGTTCGGGGAGACCGTTCTTCTTGAAGTAGTGTGTGCTGTAATTTGTGAAACTCTACAGGCACAGCAATCTCCTTGCCTTCCCATACGAAGATCATGTCGGATCGAGTATAATCGATCTTGGCACTGACCTTTGAAAGCCAGTTATTCCCTACAATAGCTTGATAGAACTAGGCGTCAGTGACCACAACATCAACGGGAATTCTCACTCCTCCTACCATGAAGGGGAAATCGGAAATCTCGCCAATAGCCCTTCTGCTTTGTCTGTGTACTTTGTCTGTGAATGTTGATCATGTTGACGGTAGAGGGTCTCTCTACCTTAATACCAATGTTCTGGAGAAAGTGAGTAGAGACTACACTACCCGAAGACCCACTATCAATAATAAGGGGGATGACTTTTCCCTTAACGAACGCATCACAGTACAGAGCCGTGGCTTTCGCAGTAGGGTAAAGATTAGCAAACGCCCAACCTTTTCTTTTATTGGCCTTCTTCTTTTTCTGAAGGCCTTTAGATAGCTCAGTATGTATTGAGGGGACAGTCTTCAACAACTGACCGATGGTGATATTCGCAGGTTTGTCCCTGACGTTGGCAACAATAGAGTAGGGTGAAACAAGAGCGGAAATCTGTGGGGGTTTATCTTCAATTTTCTTTCTACAAGTGATCGTTGGCTTAGTATCCTTTTTTTTCACCAACTTGCCAGTTGCGAGAGCTTTCGGTGCTTCTTGTAGGTCAGAATAAATTTCTTGAGACAAATCTTCTGTAGTTTTCTGTCGCTTAAGTCGAGTCGATCTAATGGGTCATTCTTGTTCTTCTCCGATATTGTACAAAGTATCTTCGTCGTGAAGGTTCAGGAAAGCTTGTGACTCATTCCCCTAAGAGTTTGTCCTACAAGATTAAGGAGAGTTTGTATCGTATTCTGAACATCATTGTTATTGGAGACGTCATTTCGTTGGGGGGTGGTCGATTTGTATTTTGGCCAAGAGGAGTAGCATTAGCTCCAGTGGCAACATTCCTATTGTTGTTTCTTCGAAAGAGGTTGGGGCAGTCTCTAGCGAAGTGCCCATTCTGTCCGCAACGGAGACATGGATCTCTGGAACCACTGTTGTTCTAGCCGTTCCAATTCTTTTTGGGAGGTTCCCGGCCTCCTTATACTGGGCCATCATCTTATCAATGGCTTCGGTTAGCTTATTAATAGCCTTTTCAGTCTTATTTTTATTTTGGTTCGGCATTGAGAGGGACAAGTATTGGGGGGAGTAAAAGGCGGAGAGTAGAGGAACATTGGGTTTGATAGGTTTTGCTTAAAGGTATTCTCAAAAACCTTTGCCCTTTCATAGGTAGCAGCGAGGGTCCCAGGCATGAAGGGGGCAACGGACGTAGCGAGGTCAGGTCTTAACCCGCTAATAAATATTTGGGCTTTGGCGGTGTCAGGATACTGATGTCCTCCTGTCTCCACGCGTTGTAAAAGTTCCTCTACGGCTATGTGATACATGTCAATGTCCTCACCGAGGTACTGTTTCCTCTGTGTGAGTTGAGCGAACCATTTGCTTTCCAGGGCAGGGGTTCGAAAGTGGGCGATGAAGGTGAGATGAAAACTTTGTCCTTGGTTCTGGTCATCGTCCCATTGATCGATAGCAGGTAATTGTTGCTGCTATCGTTGGTTCCTAATAGTGATCCACCGGGTGCATCTAAATACCCAACAGCTTACGTAATGTTTCATGACGATCTATGCATTCCCGACCAATCATAATCGATCA